CTGAATATTGTCCCAATTTATGTGAAAAACAGATCTGGCATTGATAAATTTTTGGATGATATAATTACATAAATATCGTAAAGGGCCTTATTAGTTGAACAAGCAGGTATGATGTACTGTTTACCTATCGATGTCCTACAATAAAGTGATTCCATAGTAGGTAAGTTATGGAGAAATTCATTCATTGGTTTATTTTCCAATTCAAAAGAATTAGATTTCTTGGTTTTTTTTAGATTCAATGGGTGGGATACTGTTTACTTCCTCTTCATTTCCTCTTTTATGAACACTTTGTGTTTGTCTTGTCTCCTTCTAGTTTAAAACACAACATTTCTCTATGCGCAATGTGTTTAAAAACATTGTTTTGCATACTCTTATTAACTTTTCACCTTTTCTTAAATTATATATAATAAAACAATTTCTTCTTGTACCAAATTCATTTTTTCTGTCTATGTGAGGTTGAGTTTTTACTATTTGTACTAACTCGTCTACATAAATTCTTTTCTCTCCCCAAGTCATTTTTTCTAAAAAAGTACTAAAGATATTTTATCTGTCGTCTTCTGTAATCAAAGAACATCTAATTTTACAATCTTTGCTACGTTCCTTACATTTACATTTTGTCTTTAGTGTCCTAGGAGGTCTCAGAACTCTATCATTCCACATGTTATTATCTTTCTTTCTTCCAAAATATCTTTGCTCAGTTTCTCTATTCTTTCTGTTTTCTTCATAAACCCAAGTAGATTTATCCACTGGCATCTTTTTCTTTTTACTGGCCCCAAATTTTCAGATTGATTGTCAGAATCAGAATTGTCTGAATAGTTCACCAGACCGAATCCTTCAATAGATGCATCACTAAAATTGGACTGGGGTCTTTCAGCAGGTCTACTACTGCCTGGTTTATTTATTATATCAAAATCATATTCTGAGCTAAATGTGGCAGTAGTATTATGGGTTTCTATTTCATTTTCAATAACACTTTCGTAATTATAATTCAGTTCATTTATTGCATCAAAGTCGTCTTCTGAGCTACACACCATAGTAGTAACTTGTGTTTCTATTCCATTTCATTAACTATTGTTTTGATTTCTTTAGATATTTTATTCAGATTCATACTTTGAAAGTCTACTTCAACAGTCAAGTCTTCCTCGATTTCTTCTTCTTCCTCTTTCTCTTGTTGGATGTTCAAAAATTGTTCAAATGTGGCTGAGTCATTGGTTTTTTCATTAAAATCACAGGAATCTTCCTCTATTGTACTCAACTGGACATTTGAGCAAGACTGACTTTGGCAATTGGTACACGCTGGAGAACACAGCAACCCGACTTTTTTACAGTCACATTTGGCACTACAACCTTTTTTACAATTGCAAAAAATATGGTTGAAGAGTTTTCTGGAGCAGGTTGGAGTAAAGTTTTAATCGGTTCCAGAGTCGTATCTATCAATTTCCAACCGCAGTCTTAGTCTTTTTTATTCAGTTGATTGCCTAGACATGTTTGAACTTAATAGTATACTCGATACAAGTTACCCATATACAAAATTACCAGAAAATTAAAATATCACGGAAGGCCGTTATGACCTGAAAACCATTTCTAATGAATAGGAAACTATCAATGCATATGTTGAGAGGCTATATGTGGTCTACGAAATATGGATATCAAAATCCACAATGCAAATTGTGGTGCTATTCCAAGATCCTAAATATATTATGAGTCTCACATACCTCCACTAAAGATATTCTTCGATTGATGAATACAGATCGACTGCTCTTAAAAATTATAAAGAGAAGGAAAACACAATATTTTGGCTACATAGTTAGACTACTTGAATATTACGTATTTTGCTGTATAATTCAATTCAATTTAAGAAAACGTAGAAGGAAAAAGATAGGTAAGACGAAAGAAACTCTCATGGTTGCGGCAGATCAAGCTGTGGTGTGGTCTCACGGTGAAATAATTATTTTGCACAGTAGCTAATAAATAAAGTTTTCGGAAAACATGATGACGATCAAGATCTCATTACGGCACCTAAGGCAGGAAGGGCACGTAATTACTTGTTATTCTTTGATTAGCTTCACTTTCTAAGGATGCTAGACTGCACCTGGATTATACCTGGTATTCAATTTTCTCATCTCTCCGAATATTCAACACATTAATTCTTCTTCTTCAGCCTGTTTGCATCCACTCCTGGACAAAGGCCTCCCCATGAGTTCTCCACTCTTCCCTGTTTTGTGCTATTTGGTGCCAGTTTCTCCCCATTTTTGCTTTGATGTCGTCTAGCCATCGTTTTTGTGGTCTTCCTCTACTCCGACTGTGTTCGCGTGGTCTCCAATGTACAATGTTTTTCGTCCATCTGTCGTTGTTTTGCCGTGCCACGTGCCCTACCCAGTTCCATTTCATTTGTGCAATTCTTCCAATTACATCTTCCACCTTCGTCCTGCTTCGTATGTCCTCGTTTCGTATATGTTCTCTCAGTGATACTCCCAACATAGCTCGTTCGATGGCCCTCTGTGTTGTTCTTAATCTGTTGGCTGACAACTCTGTAAGTGTCATGGTCTCCATTCCATAAGTCATAACCGGTAGAATACAACTGTTGAATACCCTTTTCTTTAGATTTATTGGTATCTTTTTGTTCTTCAACACATCACTGAGTCTGCCTACTGCTGCCCAAGTCATTCGGATTCTTCTAGTTATCTCTGCTGTTTGATTCTGTTTGCCTAGTTTGATGGTGTGACCTAGGTATATATACTCTTCGACACTTTCGATCTCACTTCCATCTAAGTCGATTGTGATATTTTGATTTGTCATTACTTTTGTTTTATTTAAATTCATTTTTAAACCGATTTTTTCAGATTCTTGTTTAAGCTCCTTCAGCATGTAGATTAGTTCCTCTGTATTGTTGCTTATGAGTACTATGTCATCGGCAAATCTTAGATGGCTTAAAAACCTGCCATCAATTTTAATTCCGAGTTGTTCCCAATTTAACTTCTTGAACACATCTTCTAATGCAAGAGTAAATAATTTTGGAGATATGGTGTCTCCCTGTCGAACACCTCTTTCTGATCTTATTTTGTTTGTTGTTAGGCCTTCTGCTACATTTATTTGCATAGTTGCATTGTCGTATATGTATTTTAGGAGCATTCTATATCTGGAATCTATCCTTGCGTTATTCATTCCGTCTAATACCGCCCAGAATTCTATAGAATCGAATGCCTTATTGTAATCCACAAATGCCAAATGAAGAGGTTCATTGTATTCGTTACATTTTTCAATAAGTGTCCTTATTGTCTGTAGGTGTTCTATTGTACTATAACCTTTGCGGAAACCCGCTTGTTCAACAGGCTGGTAACTATCAAATTTGTTTGATAGTCTGTTGGTAATTATTTTGGTAAGCAGTTTGTATGGAAGAAGAACTAACTAAGATCAAGTGGGATGTCCTTGGTCTAAGCGAAACGAGACTGCCAGGAGAACAATGTACAATACTCCATTCTGGACACATGTTCTACCAATTCCATAAAGAGTACAATACACATGTCGGCGGTGTAGCACTATTGATCCACAAAAGACTCAAACATCTGGTCACAAAATCTGCTGCAATCTCGGAGAGGGTCATTTACATCGTTCTTAAACTATCAGAAAGGTACAGCATCCAAATAATTCAAGTATACGCTCCCACTAGTCAATCCACAGATGAAGAAATAGAGAAATTCTATGAAGATATTACTAAAGCAATGACAGAAAGAGCTCATTTTAAAATAATCATGGGAGACTTTAACGCCAAAGTAGGGAAACACAACACCGGCAACATACCAAATAGAGGAATATATGGGCTAGGAACTACAAATGAAAGAGGAGAACGGTTACTAACATACACACAAGAACAAAACCTATTTTGTATGAATACATTTTTTAGTAAACCAGATAATAGACGGTGGACCTGGATAAGCCCAGACGGGAAAACCAAAAACGAAATCGATTACATATTAGTCAACCAGAAACAGATAATAAAAGATGTAGCGGTGCTCAACAGATTCAGTCTGGGAAGTGATCATAGATTAGTAAGAGCAAAAATAATAATAGATAACAAATTAGAAAGAAACAAACTAATCTTGCAAAAACGAACCCTAACTACTAAAGAGCTTGGGCAAAACAGTACCAACTACCAGAAATATCTTGAGTCTAGTCTAGAGCCAATGGAACAGCTAAAAGAAAAAGACATAAATAATTTGGAAGAAACGATAAGAACGAGTATAATTTCTGCGATCAAAAAAACCCATACGATGCCGAAACCGAAAGATAATAAATTGAAGACAGAAACAAAACAGATGATTAGGGACAGAAGCCGCATGGATCGAAATTCACCAGAATATAAGGAACTTAATAAGGCAATAAGAACAAGAATTAGACAAGACATCAGGGACAACAACACCGAAAAAATCGAAAACATTATAGAGAAAAACAAGAATATGAAAGTGTTAAAAACGCTAAATAGCAAAGGCCGACAACAAATACACCAAATAAAGGATAAAAATGGAATCATTAGAAACGACAAAAATCAGATAATAAACATTGTCGAAGATTATTATACAGAATTATACTCGTCCAGCGTAGCAAAACCTGAAACCCATGATATGGAACGAAGAATACTAAATGTAGGATCTGAAACACTACCAGAAATTACTACCGAGGAAGTTGTAAATGCCTTAAAGCAAATGAAAAATGGAAAATCTCCTGGAGACGACGGAATAACAAAAGAGATGATTACAGCTGGAGGTCAAACTACTATGGAGGCAGTTAAAATCTTACTGAACAAGTGCCTATTCGGGGGTGCTATTCCAACCTCTTGGCAAAACGCGCAGGTACTTTTACTACACAAGAAAGGAGACAAACACAAACTCGAAAATTACAGACCAATAAGCCTGTTACCACATCCATACACACATTAATTATATTATGTATATTCCTATGATTCGCTTATTTCTATTGTGAGTCACTTTCACGATACTTACAAACTGACTTCAAGCTTTGGAAAAGAAAGTCATTTTCTTCTTTTGATTCAATACTGACTAGGTCCATGTTAAAAGATCTGCAATGTAGCATGGCTGCATACCAGTTACCCTAAAAAATGATTAATACTATTGTAGAAACAAATAAAATATGAAAGTCATAGTGTTTTAAAATGTATTGTACTACACATACATCCACTGCTTCTGTTATCACTTCATTGGAAAAAAATGTCGACATTTTAGATTTGAGCAATGACACAATAGTGAAACGGAGGCAGGTCTGGTGAATAAGAAAGGTAATTCGAGTAATTATCATCTAATATCACGCATTTTTGCATGGAAATATCCGATTTGTACGCAGAGGTATTATACTAAGGTAGGTTCGCCAAATAAAGCCCGGTTCCTAATAAAGCCCACTCGCCCATATTCCTCAGGATGGACAAATAATGGCAGTATGCCGCAATGTACAGATGCAGTAGAGCCATCTAGGTGTAAATTGTTACACTAAGTTGAGCAGCGACGCGAACTGATCATTCGTTTACAGTGGTCAATGGGTAAACATCCAATCTAATATTGAGGTTAGTATGCTTTTGTAATTTAATACGATTATGAGTGCTATTTTTTTTTATTTTACATGACATTTGTGTACTTATTAGTTGTACTTTCATAGTACCTGAATTACCTTATGTTTATTAAAACGTAAATAATGGTAATTTCTAAAAACATTGATCACCTACAGTATTGCTAATAAGGCCCGGGTGAGATTTATTAAGACTACGGGTGGGCCTTGTTAAGACCACTACAATAACACGTTTTATAAGTTTTTAACTTTGTTTCAGAAAGAATACTAAAAAGCTTAGGATGCCTAGAGCTTTATGGACTGAAGAAAAATGGCTTTGGCCTTGCAAGCAGTTAAAAATGGGATGCCAGTAAGAACAGCCGCCAAAGAATTTAATATTGCCCGTCGAACAATTAGGAATCATTTGCTTAGTGGAAAAGCGGAAAAGAAACTTGGGCGCCCTTCATGTTTAACCCCCCAACAAGAATCTGAGTTGTGTGGAAGGATTTTTAGGCTAGCTGACGTTGGAATGCCTCTGACATCAACAGTGATAAGACGTTCTGTCCATGAATATTGCCAAAGAAATGGCATATCTGCACCTTTTATCGATAAAAACTTAGCTGGTCGAAAATGGCTCAAACTTTTTTTAAATCGACATCCCGAAGTAGTTAAAAGAAAATCTCAATTCATGAATCCAGCTAGAGCCGCCAAATTAAACAGATTCATAGTTAATGACTATTTTGAAAAGCTACGCGAAGTTATGTTGAAGCTTGATATCCTGCAAAGTCCTCAATGCATTTTTAATATTGACGAAAAAGGTTGCCGCCTAAACCTTCATAAATCACAACAGGTATATGCTCGTAAAGGTGTCAAACGAGTTCATTTGATTTCGCAAGAGCACGCTGAGAATGTGTCAATCGTCGGTTGTGGAAATGTTGTAGGACAAATAATTCCACATATGATCTTGTTCAAAGGAAAAAGAAAGAAGAATGAATGGTATGACAATCTTCCTGCTGGAACAGTTATTGAAATGGCCGAGAAAGGAAGTATGACTACGCCAGTTTTCATTAAGTGGGTACAACATTTTGCTAAGTACAAGCCAATAGGAAGAATACTGCTTATTTTTGACGGAGCATCGTCCCATCTGGATGCAGGTATTGTTGATGAAGCCGAGTCGCATGAAATTACGCTTTTTTTAACCTATGGACAAGGCGGTATTTAAAGCCTTCGAATCTTACTGGGACGACGAAGTTATCACCTACTAGACAAATAAACCAGATCGAACGATCAATAAATTTTCGTTTGGCACAATTTTCTCAAAAGTATGGCCAAAAGCAACTACAGCATCAAATGTTATTTCAGGTTTTCGTGCTACGGGAATATACCCTTATGATCCGAGTGTCATTCCTGACATAGCTTTTTGCCCATCAGAAATAACAGAAAATAAATTAGACTCGTAAGATTCTGCTATTCCATCAGCTTCGACTTCCGCAACGAATAATCCTATTGGCAGCTCCACTCCAGACAGAAAAAAGAAAATAAAAGCTCTAAAGGAGAAAAATACGCAAGATAGCTCTGAGAGTTCTGACGGTTCTGACAATGAATTTTCAGTACATGACAGCTCAAAAGAAGAAAACGAAATGTCAATAAGTTTTATCGCAGTGTTAATAACACCAGAATTGAAAACTGGAAAACGCAAAGGTGCTAGAAAGAAATCCCTGAACTATCGAGCACAGGAAGTCACAAAATCATTGTTTGATGAAGCTGGTTTAAATGACCCTAAAAACCAATCAAGAAAAGGAAAAAACTTGGCAAACGGAAAAATAGTCAAAAAACAACTCAAAAAAGGAGAAGAGAAAAATAAACACAGCTCACTTGAAACCTCAAAAAACAAAGAAGAACGAAAAGATAGTTGGTATTGTTTCGTCTGCAATGAGGATGTCGTTAAGGATATGAGACTTTGTGACAGCTGCAAAAGATATATCCATGAAGAGTGTGTAGGACTTTCAGCAGATGATAAAGACTTAGTTTTCATATGTCCAGACTGTTTGCAATAATTATTTTAAGTACCTATTATTTTTTACAAAATAAATGTCCTACATGTCACCTTTGTTTAATTTTATTAATGTATAGTTGCACCAATAGACCTTAAGCTTAAGACGTACGTGGAACGTCAATGCGACATAAGCTGAACTGGGCTAAACTGGTCACATTTAAAAAGTGGGCCTTATTAAGAACATGGTGTTCCTAATTAGGCCCAGAAGCAACTATTTTTTAAAGACTAAAAAGTAACAACTCATAAAACTTTTAACAAAATTTAACAATCTCATATTAAATTTAAATATGTGATTTATTTTCTCTGTGGTTTTCAGATTTATATCGTGATTTTATTTATCAAAAAACAACTAACAAACATTAAGTGGGCCTTATTTGGTCAACTTACCTTAGAAGAATAAAATATCTATCGACAACTCTCCGGTCTTTATTCCAAATTTTTCCCATAAAGTGGTCAGTAACGATGACAAGTAATAAGCATGTATTGCTTCAAATTTACCCACAAAATAAGTCTGCATTGTGTCCCAAACATTAAAAAAATGCAGGTACAGCAGATTTTTAAACACGCATAAATTTCTTATACTTTGGAGATCCGGAGTATGTTGATTCTATTAATTATTTCTGAGTGGCATAAATGCATCTAAGTTTAATCCATAGTAGCAACACGGCTATGCTCGTGATGCTACTATGCTCGATGCTCACGAAATGAGCATCTTTTCCAAGCCAAGCATAGATCGAACGTGACGCTATGACCCATGCACGCTAATGGTTAACACTTTAAGATATTAGCAAATCGATTTTGCAAAAATGTCTATCGTGTAAACTAGATGATGGACACAGTTATATAAAATATTTAATGCCGCAGATATTCAATATAGTACAATTCGGCGATCTGAACGATCGCGATATAAACTGGCCTCACAACGGTTTTTTCCCTTCAATGGAAAATTTAGTTCAAATTTTTCACGATCTTATACGATAGACTTTGATAGCCGACTATATTAAACATATTTTCGTAAATTTGCTTACTTCGTAACCCCTTCAAATTCGGGTAAGTACTTCTGATGAGTCGATACTCCAATTTTCATAGTTTCGGTCAATGTTTAATGTTTTAAAAATTTTATTGTGAAACTGTATGCATTTGTGTTCGCAGTGTATGTGCAGTGACTAACTCCAGAAATGTTAAACAATTTTAGTGAAATCCAGGTAACTTTTTTTGTTTAACTTTTAAAGGAAAAATAAACATTTTCTAATAATAATTGCTTTCATAATAGTTTAAGAAATTGTAATATTAAAAATTGTAGATGTTAGGGTGTGGCTAAGCTGTCATATTAATTATTCCCAAAGTTTAGTATTAAATTTAATATTGACATCTGACAGCTAGCTTTATATTTTTACATCTGACACATACCTAATCATAATAGTACTTGATTTGCTTTGTTTCTTTAAGGTTAACCACTATGCATAGTTCCATTTAAAAGGTATTGTTACAAAATGAGTCATATTAAAATAAAACCTGTAATTGTGTTGTTTACTTAATATTATGTTCTAGATTTGACGATAGAAATCTACCTGACGCATCAATGGGTCACCCTTCATTCTCCGACGAGTCGAACTTTCGAGGCTGCTATAAAAAAACCTGAAGGTTACTACCCGCTTCTAGATAACGGTATTTGGATATAAATACATAGAAATTTTATGTAAGAAGTTAGTCAATGAAGAAAAGAAGATCGCGATATATCGGGTTTTTAAATTGTATCGAACGTAACATAAATATTTGTAAAGTTAATTAATAAATTAGTAATTAGTTATCGTGAGTTTTAATAAATTAGAATATAGACAATAAATTAGATTTAAAGACAATAAATTAGAACAATATAAATACAGTACTACAGTGGTGTACAGGAGTGGGATATTTAAATAAAAAAGCGGGATTTTAAATAAATTGAATTTGAATTTTTGAAAAGAAGTGAAATATGACGACGATTTACGAGCTCACACTTACGAATTTAAGAAGGCATCTTGAGGACAAAGAATTAGCTTCTACCGGAAAAAAGGCTGAGTTAGTCCAACGACTAGCGAAGGCTTTGGAGGAAGAGGGTTTAGATCCGGAAACTTATATGTTTGAAGATGCTGTCATCTCGTCGATTTCGAAAGTTTCTTCCGATGTAGCCAAAATCTCTGGTGATGTAGCCAAAGTCTCTTCTGATGTAGCCAAAGTTTCCTGTGATATCGCATCATTAGAAAACAAAGTCACTTCTGAGTACGGATGGGAAAAACCTACCGGTTTTAACCGAAAACCGGTTTTTTACTTCTACATAACCGGTTTTATCGGTTGTTTTTTTGTCCCGATTATTACCGGTTTTTTATTTTTAAAGTAAAAACCGGTTATTAGGTTTTTACAGTGATTAGGAGTAGGTTAGGTATTATTTTGGATCCCACCCAATCATAATTATTATTCTCAAGTAATTATTCCAAACAAAACTAAAATTCAATTT